CGGTGAACACAGCATGTCATATTTGCATGTGCTGGCATGGCATGAGAGATTCCGAGAGGGACATGTGTCACTGCAAGATGATACTCGCCCAGGACAGGCTCATCCTGTCATCACTCCTGATGTTACTGCTGCGTTGGATGGTCATATCCGGGCAAACCAAAGGGTCACTGTGGAAGATATTAGTCTTTTGATGGGAATAAGTCATGGTTCTATACACACCATTGTGACAAGACACCTTCTGTACCGCAAAATCTGCGCACAGTGGGTTCCAAGTCAACTCACAGAAGAACAAAAGACTCAGAGAATGGCTGCATCACTGGGTCACTTGCAATGATACCATGAGGAAGAGTATGCTTTTCTGTCCCATATTGCCACTGGAGACGAAACTTGGTGCCACAATTTTGAACCCGAGAGCAAACGGCAGAGGCAACAGTGGAAACACGTGAATTCTCCCCCACACTGAAGAAATCCAAAGCCATACACACAAGTTCCGGTAAAGTGATGATGACATTCTTCTTCGACTGCAAGGGCCCTCTGGTTGTCAAATTTCTTGAGCATGGGACCACAATCAGTGCACAGCGCTATGAAGACACTTTGCAGAAACTGAGACGTGCCATAATGTCAAAACGCCCTGGAATGCTATCGAACAACATTATCCTTCTTCATGATAATGCGCGCCCCCACACTGCCAGCTTTGAGAGGAATATGCTACAGAGATTTGGTTGGGAAGTGCTTCAACATCCTCCCTACAGCCCACAACTTTCCCCGTGTGATTTTCACACTTTTGGAGACCTGAAGAGACATTCATGGACATCAGTTTGTATCGAATGAAGACGTGTGTGGCTGGGTAAAGATGTGGTTCCGTAGACAGCCCACAAGCTTTTTCAAGGATGGGACTGACCATCTTATATCCCAGTGGGATAAATGTATTAACAGTTTTGGACATTACTTTTGAGGTAAGAAATGTTCTTTAATATGTTTTGGCTTCTGACCCGTTTTCATTTGACTGTCCCCCCTCATACAATGTTCCCACATTGGTCATTCATAAATTTACATGGATGTCTCCTGGATGGATGACGCATGATCAAATTCACAGCATTCAAGTATACTTGATGTCCAATCATTCAGGGCAGCTGATTCTAATACTCACCACTACCTGATAGTGGCAGAAGCTAGGGAGAGACTGGCACTGAATAAATAAATAACATGCATTTCATATGCAGAAGTTCAATTAAAAAAATGAAATGAGGTAGAGAGTAAAGAGCAGCATCGTGTTGAAATTTCAAATAGGTTCAAAGCTTTGGAAAACTTAGACACTGAGGTGGATTTTAATAAAGCTCCGGAAACTATTAGAGAGAATATCGAAATTTCTGCCAAAGACAGTCTGAAGAAGCAAAACACATGATTCGATAAAGGATACTCAAAATTATTAGACCAAAGAAAACAAGCCAAACTGCAGTGGCTACAGGATTCAAGCAAAATAAATGGGGATAATCTGAACAATATAAGACATGAAACCAGAAGGGATTTCAGGAATAGAAAAAGGAAATATCTGAAGAACAAAACTGATGAGCTTGCAATGAACAGTAAGAACAAGAACATCAGAGACCTGCATAAAGGAACAAATGACTTTAAGATGGGTTACCAACCTAGAAGTAAATTAGTAAAGCGTGACAATGGTCTCCTGCTTGAAGATAGCCACAACATTTTGAATAGGTGGATGAACTACTTCTCTCAGTTATTGAATGTACATAGCGTCAGTGATATTAGACAGAAATACATACAGCTGAGCCGTTAGTGGCTGATCCTCGCCCTTTTGAGGTTGAAATTGCTATTGCACAATTGAAAAGATATACTACTAACAACCAGGTAGTGATCAAATTCAGGCAGAACTTATTCAAGCAGGAAGCCTATGATTCAGTTAGGAGGAAGTACTGTACAATATTCTGATAAGGTTTGGGGTACCCATGAAACTAGTTAGGCTGATAAAAATGTGTTTAAATGGAACGTATAATAAAGTCCATCTAGGTAAACATTTGTGTGATAATTTCCCTCTCCAGAATGGTCTAAGACAAGGGGATGCTTTATCACCACTGCTTTTCAACCTTGCTTTAGAATATGCCATTAGGAAGGGCCAGAAACACTATGAGGGGCTGAAATTAAATGGGACACATCAGCTTTTGGTCTATGCTGATGATGGGAATCTATTGGCCCTTAACATAGATACCATAAAGAAAAACACATACTTTAATTGACGCTAGTAATGAGTTTGGTCTAGAAGTGAACACAGAGAAAACGAAGTACATGTTGCTGTCTTATCACCAAATACTGAGGCAAAATAATGACATAAACATAGGACACAGATGTTTACAAAATGTGGCACAGTTCAAATATTTGGGGACTACGACAACGAATCTAAACCTGATTGAGGAGGAAATTAAGAGGCGATTGAACTCGGGTAATGCTTGCTACCATTCAGTCCAGAACCTTTTGTCTTGTCTGCTGTCCAAAAACATAAAAATGATAATATACAAAATTATAATGTTGCCTGTGGTACTGTATGGGTGTGAAACTTGGTCTCTCTGACATTAAGGGAGGAACATAAACTGAGGGTGTTTGAGAACAGAGTGATGAAAATATTTGGATCAAAGAGAGATGATGTGACAGGAGGCTAGAGAAAACTGCATAATGAGGAGCTTCATAACTTGTACTCTTCTCAAAGTATAATTAGAATGATCAAGTTGAGGATGAGACTGGCAGGACATGTAGTACGAATGGGAGAGAAAAGGAATGCCTACAGGATATTGGTGGAATAGCCTGAAGGAAAGAGACCACTGGAAAGACCAAGGTGTAGGCNCTTCTCCCAGTATAATTATGGAGAGTAAGATCGGCAGGGCATGTAGTACGAATGGGAGAGAAAAGGAATGCATACAGGATATTGGTGGAATAGCCAGAAGGAAAGAGACCACTGGAAAGACCGAGGCGTAGGTGGCTGGACAATACTAAAATGGATTTTAGAGAGATAGCATGGGATAGTATGGATTGGATTGATCTGGCTCAGGCTAAGGACCAGTGGACGGCTCTTGCAAACAGGGTAATGAACCTTCGGGTTTTATAAAATGCTGGGAAGTTCTTGAGAGCTGCACAATTGGCGGTTTCTCAAGAAGGTGGGCTCACTGAGTGAGTGAGTGAGTGAACAGTATGTTTATTACATATATAAGTAACTCATTAATCAACATTAAAAATGGGTTCTGTTTGTATTAAGATTGCTCATCTATAACCTATATCCAAATCTATGACACTTGAAATGAAGTACTTATCTTCTACCCACATGCTATGCTATAACAGTAAAACTGTCACTGTGCTTAACTAATTAAGCATTATGCCATGAAGATGTATGGGGGGTGGATGTATAGATCCACATATTCTTGGCCTCAGCACTAGTTGGAAGTCAGTGGTCAGCTTCAGGCCTTGGCCACATTATCCCCTGGGTAAGAGCTCCCAGTAACAATTGGATGGCAGGCTGGGTGGGGCCCCAGGGCTGGTCTGGATGACATGGAGAGGAGAAAAATCTTTCCATTATCAGGATTTGAACTCCAAACATACTATGACATTGTCCATACAATTCTGAATTCAATATTACACCATATCATGATCTGCTGTATGTTCTTTCTTCATCAATAAAGGAATACACACCAAAATAGAATGTTTCAGGAATATTTAATCTGAGAATCAGTTATTCATGGCTTAACTTTCACAATACCTTCAACTGTTGCCAAAGATCAATATGAATGATATTCACATAATGCAGGAATTCCCATGTTGTCGTAATAGGTAAACTTAATTCATACACTTAAATATTCACTTCAGTATGCGATAGACGTTACTTTTTAAACAATATGATGCATGACGAAACTACAAAATAGAAAACAGTAATCACTTTTGGTGCTACTGCCTTTTCAATCTACTCAATATTTACAGCAGAACAACTTTATTACAGTATATGGTGGGGTTCTTCGATTAGTGGCAGACAGATTAATTTAATGTTCCATATACATCCATTATAAGTGGTACATATAACTAACCCATCTGAGGCTGCAGTACCAAGTAACTCTGTTATCACCCCACTCGTAACCATAATAGTTTGAAAGTGTGCAACATTAATTGAGTTAGGTTCTTAGGTTTACTTTACTTTGCATAAAGCTTTACGTTGACTGTTTTCCTTCAAGAAAACTATTTTTAGAATGGGTGTGTTGGCAGCTTCAAGTGACATTCTGATTGTGCTTAATATGATTGTCATATCATGATTGGGCACAGACAGAAGGATGGAAAAGATGTACCAATGGGTATCTTTGACTTTATCTGATTGTATATTTTACAGTTATGGATGTAAATAAAATTATGAATTATGAATAAAGGACTCTTTCTACAGCAATAAAGCAGCAGTGTGTGATGATGACCATTCTCCCCCACCTACTGCCATGGAGTTACACCATCTCCATGCTTCCATACACCTCTATGGCATGGTGCTTAACCACCTTTCACTGATAAATGAAAGAATGTGGACTGACGTATATATGTAATACAGTAACGTTATAAACATGAAATCTTATTTCAGCAAACAGTGCAAACAACATTTTTAGCAGGATGGCAAGGATTATCTCCAATAAATCACCCACTTGCAAACATTAAAAATGTAACATCCCCATGCAGAATTAAGCACAGCTCCATGAAGACATACAACAGAGTGGAGGTATAGCTCCATTATTCTTATCTTGGCACTAAATGGAAGCAAGTGTTCAGTTTCACACCCTACCTGCTCCCCCCCCAAAGCCCATTACCCATTCGATAGGAGGCTACGTAGGTCCCAGAGGTGGCCTGGACACTGTGGAGTAAGAAAAATCTCTCACACCTGGCAGGAATCAAACCAGAGCTGTCCAACACATAGCTATCCCAGCTCCTCCTTGCAAACATGTATGATGTAAAGAGCAAAATCTCACCTCTGTGTACCCCATGCTCATAAGCTGGACAAGTGTCTGACGCAGAAGGGTCAAGTCCTTTTCAATTCCGTTGCTACCTGAAGCTGCACTTATTCCACTATGACCAGAGGCAGAACTTATTCCACTAGTAGTTGAAAGAGTTGAGATAGTACTTGCAGCACTTGAACCTAAATTCTCTCCAAGATTGCCAATATTCGCGAATGGCAACAGTGAGTTCCGAATTTCCGCTAAGGCTTTCTGATGGTAGCCCGAGGAACGGGTAGAGGACTTGCCTGATGTGGCAGGGTTCATAGTGACGATGAACTGTTGGCCCATACTAGGCCCAGCGGGCGGGCAACAGTCACGTGCCCGCGGGCCACTGTTGCACCTCCTGCATCCACAACTGCACTCTGTATCACACGGTTTGAGCACTCATCAACTTTTCCACTATAAAGACACACACATCACACTACCACTGATACTTGTCTTACAACTCACGTTTTACTTTTAAATACAAAAATAAATTCTTCTGTCACATTTGAATAGTTGAAATGTGGCTTAAAGGCAGCAGTTTCACAGCGCTTGTTGTCATTTTTTCGGCTACATCTGAAAGAAATGGAACAAATGCATAAATTATATGACATAGAAAAATAAAGACCCATAAACATGCTGTTATTCTCCCATCTTTCTCAGTAATACTTTAGATGTGCTCAAGTAGTATTACATTACATTTGCTAAGCATAATTTTAATGAAACAATCCATATCAAGACACATTCAAAATGAAATGGACAATATTTTACAAACTCTACCGTTTTCACTAGATAAAAATAAATGTCAAATAAACCAATTACAGAATCTACGCTTCAATTACCACATCCCTACATGTCAAAACCTATATAAATTTTATGTCATATATCTTTATATAATACATGTCTTAGAATTATACTAAATCTGACTGCCAAATTAGTTGTACTTACAAATGTCAACATCAAACAGTTTGTAGCTTTATATAAATTATGCTGTGTACTTTACAGGATTGATGCTAAAGCCTGTAACCATTAGAAAAGCTCGTGTATCTTAAAAGGATTGGTGTTAAACTTGTAACCATTAAAAGGGCCCCTATTCAACTACCAGCTAGGAGAAGTGACAGCTAAGTAAATCAAAATAGTTTTATTAAGCTTAGTAACCACACAGCCCAAATTCAGAGATGGGATCAACAACTGCAAAGTCATTCCTTAAAATGTGACATATGGAATACAGGAAAAAATATATACAAATCACCTTTCAAAAGAGGATGGAACTTGCTAAAATTTAATAATATAAATACTTTATAAATATAACAACTGTTAGCAAAGCCCACCCCCCCAACTCCATGGCAATAATCTATTAATTTTATTTCATATATCAGTCAGTTCTTTCAAGAATCAACTCTACCACATATGACTACTGATGTGCACTGCAGCACTGAAAACATCTTACTACAGTTTGACTTTAAAGCTTAAAGTCAACAATCTAATTCCATGCACACTGAAATAAATCCACACAAATACACATATATTGAACGGTAGCTAAACTTGAGTACAGTAGAGCAGAGTTTCTTTGCGTTCCTNCCCCCCAGGAAGATTCCTCCTACTCATTTCTATTAGAGATAAGTCAACCCCAAGGCCATTATGTGGCTGGAAGGGTTAAGTAAACTGAAAAAATACACCTCACTGGGAACCTTACTGCCATCTGTGAGCCGACTGTCTAGAGAAAATGTGGGAGCCTCAACATCTCAAAACCCTATGGGCCTTCACACACAAACTTATTTCATATATAAATATATATAAAACTTACAAATCTTTAAAACAAGAATAAAAAAAAGTCTTATTTCCCATACAGATTTGCATAAAGCTTAAAATTATTCATCACAGGTAAAATCATCTAAAAATAGAGGAGTTAAGAGGTAATCTTTTAATGCTAGCTTTAATACGTCTATATCATACTTTAAGTTTTTCATTATAGGTGGAAGATTACTGAATATCTTGACACCTGTACAGTATACTCGTGCCTGATATTTAGTGAGGTTAGCATTTGGCATTTTATTCTATGATATTACTTAATTCTGTCAATACAAGCTCACATAAAAGTGACCCTACTTAAATATTTTTCAAATATGACATACAATAAAATGGTAACACCCCATTATCTAGTTATTTTCTTACATGCAAAATATGTCCTCAGCACAAGGCATCAACATGCATACAAAACATTACCACAAATTATTTGTTATTAGTGCAAGCATACAACTTAGAAAGCACTTGGTTCAGCCAGATTACCTCTGATGTGAACCTGAGAAATTTAAATATATAGGACTATACGAAATATCCCTAAAACTTAGGTTATACCAGGTAACAGCAGGAATGTGGACGTCTCATGCAAACTGGAATGAAGTCTTGCCACATTTATTTAGAATAAAACAAACGACTATGGATACGCTCACTCTAACAGCTAACGCACTTAATGTTATGCAATTTCAACAAGTTAATTACTACATAATCCAAAATTACACTGTATATATCGATATAGGATAATTAAAAGACACATTCTGTACACAATCTACATAAATATTATTGACGATATTACTTTTGTCAGAAGTTGTTTTCGCATTTAATGTGGTATTTGTGTATAATATACACATACTGGTCCCGACAAACACATACAATCACTGTAACACAGAAAATATAGTAACGAAAGAAAGAAAGATGCAACCATAACTCGAAGACCCAATGGCCGCCATCTTGAAGTGCCACATTCCGAAATATCAAGCTGAGAAGATTTTGAAGTCAAATTGCTGTGTATTGTAACATTTAATTTCAAAGGAATATATATTCATATTGTATATTTAAAAAAAGTTCTTTTTAATGAGTATCATTTAAAAGTTAATACTACGCACGTAATTTTGGATGGCTGAAACTTAGAGGTCCATTTTCCAACGCTAACTTTGGACCTCCGCAAAAACAGACACATCGAGGAAAGAATGCATGTATTAGGAGAATTTGTAGCAGATCGGTCAAGTCCTTTTTACACGTTTCATTTCGTTTACTCTGTATTCTTATTGTATACTCCGTGTGTTTATAAGGAATCTCAGTTATTGATATTATAATTTTAATTGGCATTTATTATTTCTTCTTACGATAACCTGGGAGTGGTCATTGAATATTCTCAGACCTTGACTCCCACATTATGTGAATGTGACAGACATGACAGCATTATTTTCCTGCACACCGTCCAGCTATATAATAAAGCCACTGAATAAAACATTTAAGCACTAATAAATGATCGCACACAGAATTCCTTAATATTAATTTATATTTGGCATTCATACAGGATTTGGATTTCCTCGGCAAGAAATATGACCTACAAAGACGAAGAAGTATATATACAGGTTAACTATACATTTTATGCTTTGTAAAATATTGCAGCCAATCCATTAAGTTATGCTGCAGCGTTGTTCGTGACTGATAATACTAAACATAAATATTTTAATATTTTGTTTTATGTGACATTTTTCAACAGCTCAAATGAGTTCGTAAGCAATGAACTGCAGGCAGTCACGTTTTTCACACGGAACTCCTACCACGAGAGAAGCCGTTTATAATGTGACTAGAAATTAAAATGGTAGTAAATTGCTTCATACGTAATTATGCATATATAGAGTTCCAGTAGTCCGAAAAGTTACCACAGATTGACCAGGAAATTGGTTACGCTTTTTACTTTCAGATTTAGATACCGAGTTATCGTAATTACAAGCAAGTAATTCAGACTGCTTAGCCTAATTAAAGCGTAATAACATATGTTTATTAGATTGTAGCACAGAAAGGTTTGGTCCTTAGCAGGTATTACTACTGTTAGAAGTAGTAGTAGCAATAGGTTATGTCTATTGAAAAGTCAACGGATGAATCTTCAGTAAATTACTAAAACACAGTTTATTTATTGTACACCAACACAAAGGCGAAACTCCAATAATATACTTGTTAAGAATTTCAGGTACTGACTTCTCTGTCTCCTTTTGTTCTTGTCTTTTGCCAGTTTTGGGCATCTATCTGCCTTTTCTTGAATTATTTTCACCTTCCTTGAATTTGTCTGTTTTGTTGTTATTCTTCTGCACCTACCGTCCTCCATTTCCCTTGTGTTAAAACAATTCCCTTGTCCCTTCCCTCCTTTTCCTTCATCTCCTCTCCATACCCTCTTTTTAATTTTCCAATCTTTTATTTGGCCAACCTACAATCATTTCTGTCTCCCTTACTTCCTCCGTCTAATTTACGTGAAACAGTTTACACACAGTTCACTAAATTCATCTTCTCTCTCATCTGTCTGACTTTTAATCGAAATGCACCCATAGGTAGAGCAGTTTTACAAAGACCCATTATGCACCGGAAGACGCAGTTACAATAAAATCATGTATGTAGTATTGTAGCTGAGCTTCACTTGTCCTAAGTATTAGTAAACACATAGCATTCTGTCGACACGAAACACACGTGTAACCTTCCTATGCATATAGCTGGAGCCCATTACACTATCCTACCACTATGGCAGTGTTTTGGTCATGATGCAGGGTAAAAAATCTTGCTTAAATAGTGTTTATCCCTACGCCTGGCTACTACACGCTGTATCTCGAGAACAGGTGGTCCCATTTAGCTCATAAATATCCCCCTTCTGTCGACACCTCTTCTATTGGCGCTGTCACCATCTCTGAAGCTCATCGCTACTAGGATGTTCAGAACAGACCAAATGAAAGGAATTCAATCCTAAATCTGCACATTTGCTGAGCGTCACCCACCGAAATTACACCTAAGCCCATTATAATTTATCGTCATTAATAAGACACAATTCCCTGTCTGTGCACAATATTAATATATTTACAGAAGTAGCCTAATTGTCTTCTGCTCAACATTACCTTCTCAGCAATTCGAAGATCCACTGTTAGTACCGGTTAGTATAGTACACATGCAGGTAGCGACCTTGCGACGGGCTTATCATCAGCATAAACAAGAATTAGTACGGTGTTCTATATCCGAAGTACGACATAACTACATCGATCCTATTATCCTCCAAAAATTTATTAATATAAAACTAGTGACATTACAATCAGAAACATGACAAAATCTAAGTACAGGTGCAATGAGCAATACTTTTGTAAATCTAATATGGCAATTTTATTGCAAGAGTTTCAATCACATGTACAGATTCAAAAGTTTCTTGCGACATTGGACAATGTCTGAAAAATGGTAACATTTTCTCACATCGTAAATGTAACATAGCCCGATGATGACTGAAAATCGAAGATGTCACGGCAATGAAATATTGCATATAACATTACATATGTGTTGTGCGGAATGAATACTATATATCGCATGTCAAATAACACATGCAGTTGTAACTTCATGTCTAAAATCAGGCTAGATATTCAAGTTTCACAACGATATCAAGTCTTAATCATAACTTTTCTACTAACAGAGAACAGAGAAATAGCTTCTAAATTATTATTATTAAGTATCATATTTTATATTAATTATTTTAAATTGTTGAAGTTTCCGTTGCGACCACGAATCAAATCATACCAAGCTTCTTGGTGTTTCAGAATAGGGAGATAGGGAGCGACTATGCGACGTCCGGCGACATCTTTCACTCTCAGCTGGAACGATTTACGTGCGTGTAGCTCCAGTATCGAATAGGCTATATATTTTATTTTTATTAATTAATTAAAGACTGGGTAACCCAGAACTTAATTACAAATAAAACTAGTTGGATAACTAATGATTATTTTTTTCTAAACCTAATATACTACGTAAATTAAAACTAAGTCACTTCCACTGAATTACTTAGTACTTTAACATTTAACTAGTTCGAACGGTTTCTTCTGTTTGAGTTGTCTAATGATATTGTTCACGTTGAGAAGTCTGGACGCTTTAATGTTGACATGGTTTTGGAGCCTCTGAATAGGTTCTATATGCAGCTTTTTTCTTCATCATAAGTCGTCAATGACTTTGCCCTGCGTACGCAATTCTGTGATTTGTGTTTGCAATCTATGATGTGATATTTCCCGCATTCTTAATAACTTTTCAGAGATAACTTAGCCTTTTGCATCGGAAGTCTTTCTCTTATGACCATGTATATTAGTCGCGAGGGTCGCGAGGGTGTAAATTTTGAAACTCTCAGGCCCTTCTTCAGGGGTGCCGCCTTTATATTTTATTAAGTTTGTAGACTGTTTTCTCCGAGGTGTTGGAAACTAATTTCCAGGCTAAAAAATGGAACTGCTTTGAAATAAAAAAATTCCCCCAAAGAAAATTTGCAGCAAGTAATTAATTAGTGATGCGTTTATATGTCGCTCGTAATGTTTTCCCTCGCGCGAAAACACACGGATCATTGCGAACTGACATTTACTAGTAGCCGAGGGGGTGATGGGGCCCATGGATCACTAACGCTTATGTTAGCGTTCTGTGTGGTCAGGGTATGTCTACACGAAATTTACAATGTATTTTTAGCAATATCGTTATTGTAAATGGTATTGTACAGTCCTTGCAGACCGTTGCAGACTGACCGAACGTCCCAATAGAACTGCAAGCTACTGAAACAAATAAAATACGCAATTCAATTAATAATATTAAAACATTCTTGAAACATCATGCAACCTAAACAGTGTATGGCCCTTTTATACATAATTCGAAATCAAGTTTTGTTGATGTTTACGCATGAATCAAAGTACGTAGAACTAACCAGAGATGCAAAACAATAATCTTGTCCGGTTGCCAGAAGTTTTACTCTACTTCTAGCAGGCGTACCAAATAACTAATCACTAATTTCTTTGTTGCCATAGGACGTACCGATTAGATGAAAGTAAGGCATGATACGGATTAGTAAACTAATTATTCTTATACGTTTAGCTGTTTCAAAGTATGGGTAAGATACTGTCCGTTATTCAACGAAAGGTCAATCGATTTAATGTAGAAAACCGAGCTCATAGAATTATATCAAAAGATAAACCGACGCCTGCACCAAAACATCCATCTGCTATACAGGAACTTGAAATTATAAAATCAGGTTAAACATTTAGTTTTAATATGCATTGTAATTTGTTGTTTGTATATAACGTACTACCGTTACGGACTGACTTGAAAAGTGCAATATGTTATAACCTAGCGCTTATTACTTACCATAGATTATCCTCATATTCTGGAAGACCAATACAGAAAGGATTTGAAACTGGATGACAGATTAAAGCAGGTGTTTGTGCATTCCTACGATCCAGTCGTAAGTATATCATCATTTTCTAGCAGCTTTTGAACTGGACGTCTATTTACACCACCGTTTAATGGTATGTCTCAATGGTGAAGGACACAGGATGAGTTTCTGAGTAGATGCTTGTGCCATGCAGTGAATCTAAAAAACTGATATAATTCTTTCAAATTAATGTACTCTTTAAAAAATCTGACTGATAAAACTGCAAATTTTAGCGCTTTAAGTACCATTTAGAGAAGATTACTCCCTATACTAACACATCTTCCATTTTTTTAATTTTTGTAGTATGAAATTACTGGTTGGATTTCATTCATTCATGATATAGTGATGAGGCAGGAAAGAAGTGGAAAAATGGCAAGAAATCATACTCCAACAATTTTGTGCCCTACAATCTTTATTCACATTGCTATGATTAGCATTTCTGCAATTTGGAAGGTCCTGGATTCAAATCACTGCTTAGAGACCGGCTATCATGATCGAGGTCTGTTTTGGTTTCTGCTCAGTCTTTTTCATATAAATGCTAGGATAGTACTGTGCTTCTACATCCTTTTCAATTCAGCATAACTCTCCAGCTGACAAAAAGCATCAGTAGATAAAACAAGAAACAAATTTCATACAAAAAGAGAACTCTCAAACACATTGCTCTTTGATGGGATGTGTAACTATGGCTTCCATCATGTGTTGACACTGTTCAATTTCTGCCAGCATACACTACAGTACCATCTTTAGGATGGATGCAAGATGAAAGAAGCAGTCAGTTCCATGACTAACTTGCTATATATCTACATAGGACCATTCTTCCCTCAGTCCTGATTCAGTATCACATGTACTGCGATGTATTGTGTGCTGAAATGTTTGAACACCAACATACAATATGGTTCAATCCAGAAAGCTGAAGTTGCACATAATCACTGGTCACAAAAACCTAAGGAAAAGAATATTCCTGTTTGTGTGCTAGTTGCGGTACCAATATATATGGTTGCAAAGCCAACATATCACACTATAAGCTGAGAACACCTGCCAGTGAATTCATATTCAAGGCAAGGAATGAACCTTTGTCAACTAATATTTTTTGAGCATGTGAAGAACTGTTGGCCAGACTGTCCCTCAGTTGAGTTTCTGGAATAAGGTACTGCAAGGAAGTAACATTCAGAAAGTATTTTCCACAGTAGCATAAGCCTACCGAGCATACTGAACAGCTGACTAGATTCTGAGCTTGGGTAACAATTCTTTATTTGGCAAAGGACTAGATACGTATCCAGCATATATGGGAAATGGTTTCTATTGCTCGTAGGAATCTTCAGCTGCATGAAAGAAACTTATGGAAACCCAATACAGAGTCACAATAACATGTTTTCACTTTAATTCTTGTGTGGGTGTCTTCCTAGGCAACAAAGTGGACTGATGGATGAAAGATTTGGGGATAGATATACCATATCATGATCACAAATTTAATTAGCCTGTACTATAATGGCATCTGCATGATAAGAGGGCAGGTAGTGCTACTAGTAGCAGCTGAGAGAATTACTGGATGGCAGGTGAAAATATGTGCATTGAAAATGTATTTTTGAAAAACTTCAGAAAAATGGCTTCCCCCACCTGTTGGATGAGAGTTCTTGAATACCACATAGCTGGGAGTACATTGTATATAACTTCTGTAACGTATACAACTGGGGGCACACGGTAGCATAGTTGGTTGAGGCACTATGCTACAAGCTGGAAGGTCATGGGATCAAATCCTGATGCAGTGGATTTTTTCAGTTTACCTAATCCTTCCAGCTGCACTATGGCCCTGGGGTTGACTCAGCCTCTAAAAGGAGTACCAGGAATATTCTTGGGGGTAAAGGGCAACCGGCGCATAAGGCTGACAACCTTACCACCGTCAATGAGCCAATTGTCTAGAAAATGTGGGAGCATCAACATCTCAGAATCCTAATGGGCCTCCATGGCCTGTTACAGGGATACCTTTACTTTTTATAACTTATGAAAATGAGAAACCGGTTGGTATAGTGTTTATTTGTTAATCTGAGACAAAGAGTCTTGTCTCGTTTACTTCAGTGATCGATATTAATTGGAATGCCAAACAATGAAAATTGACAATTTGTTGCTACCAAACAGTAGTAGCAGCAGTGGTGGTGGTGGTGGTGGTGGTGGTGGTGGTGGTGGTAGTTGTTGCTGCTGCTGCTGTTGTTGATATGATAGTGTCTACTTTGTTTTAAATACAGAATACTGTTGTGTAGGCTGCATACTATTAAGGTTGTTTTTGTTGTTGTTTTGTGGTGACATCATGGCACATGTTACTCCAAAATAGGCTGTTGAAGAGCCAACAGTCAACCGTTCTCACAGCCTCCCACAAGTTCGTAAACCGCCTGAAGAGACTGAATTTGGATACGTAGAGCCAGCGATGATTCCTCAGGGCCGATTTACTCTCAAGCAAGCAGTGAAGTTCATCGCTGATCACGAGGCAAATCCAAACACTTGGACTGCAGCAGCTATAGCAAAAGAATACAACATTAATCAAGATAATCTAGGTATAATATCTACATCTTACATACAATATTAATGCATTTATAATCTAAAATTTGAATTCCATTCATAGATCGAGACAATCCATTAAAGAGATCAACCGGATAATAACGTTTAGGGAAACAATTACAGTTTTGTTCTGAGAATCAAATGAAACCCAAAATAAATATTGTGAATGAAATGTCCAGTTATTTAACAAATGTAGAGCTCAGTAGGAGGCCAGAGGTAACTATTAAGAGCAAGGAGAGGAGTAAAGGAATGGGGTTGTTATAAGGGACAAATTTGTAGTTGATGGTAAAGGCAGGACGAAAGTGGCACAAATGACCAATGGGAGGTGCATTATTCTTAATGGGGGAGACTGAGTCTACTTGGTACTGTGGTCACTGTTGGCCTATTGCACCAGCCCCAGATGATAGATGATGGTGATTGTGGAGCAACTGGTGGAATGAAGATTGGCAGGGGAACTGAGTTATTCAGAGAAAACCTGCCCCAGTGCCACTTTGTCCACCACAAATCCTACATGGCCATTACGGTGGGAAGCCAGCAACTAGCCACCTGAGCTATGACACGGCCTAATGGGAGGTATAGGTGGGCCTGGAGAGGAACGGGCTATAGGCAGTCTGGTGGTCCCATTCCTTGATTCCTCATACGAAGTCCCCGTTGTTTTTGTCCCAGTTTGACTAAGTTGGAGTTTGCTGACAGATTTTAGTAAAGTCCCCAGTATCAAATTTAATGAAAGTCACTGGTTGTCACATGATTACAAAGTGCTTTTAATATACAGTAAAACTTGGTTATAGCAACATCGGTTTCTGTGACACCTTGTCTGTTGCATCAAATATTCAATGGTACGAACTGATTCCTCATAAAGCAACAGTTTTTATACCTTGCTTAGTACGACATGCACAAATGCATCAACCTCGTATGTAACGTCATTTTCATTCCTGAATTTCTCTGATATCGTGGGAAAGTTTGATATGTCTGCCCACCCTCACTTTCTCTACTTGCTGACGTGACTATCCTGGAAGAATAAGACTGCGGGCTGCAAGAGGAGCGTGGGTTTTATGCAAAAACAAGGGTATGGGGTGGGACTGCGTGAATAGTGCAAGAGGACGCGGCAGGTTGTTAACTGCATTCCTTTCCTAGAATCTCGTCTAACAGGACCTCACATTGTCTACTTACCCTATAGTGTTCCTGCCTAAACCCAGAGAAGTGCAGTAGCGAAAACATGGCAATGAAAAGGAAAGTTTTAAGCANACAACGACATTCGTTTATAACGACACTATTTTTAGGTCCCTTTAATGATGTTATAACCAAGTTCTACTGTATATGCTCTGCAGGGTTGCAAATTTCCAGAAAACATATGCACAGTCTCTAACCATACCAAAGTTCACATGCCTAGTTGCAGTATTTCCCATGAAAATGTAAAAGGTAAGATAAAGTTGTCCCTGTGCTTAACTAATTAGGCAGTACGCCATGAAGGTATATGGGGGAGTGGATGTATAGATCCACATTTTCTTGACCTCAGCACTAGCTGGAGGTGAGTGGCCAGCTTCACGCCCCTGCCACTGTGCCCCTGGGGAAAGAGCCTCTGGTACCCATTGGATAGCAGGCTGGGTGGGCCTCAGAGCCGGTCTGGACAATATGGAGAAAAGAGAAAATTCTGATCCTACCAGGACTCAAAGTCCAACCTCTCAGTTGTCCAGCCCATGGACAGTTGCTATACCAACTGCGCTACCGGCTCACATATTTCCCATAGTACTGTCACAATATGGGGGCATGCGGTAGCGTAGTTGGTTGAGGCACCATGCTATGGGTACAAGCCAGAAGGTCATGAGTTCAAGTCCCAATGAAGTCACTGAATTTTTTTTCTTCAATTGACCTAATCCTTCCAGCTGCACTGTGGCCCTGGGGTCAACTCAGCCTCTAACAGAAATGACTACCAGGAATATTCCTGGGGGTAAGGACAGCTGGTGCGTAAGTTTGACAACCTCACCGCCATCTGTGAGCCGACTGTCTAGAAAATGTGGGAGCCTCAACATCTCACAACCCTATGGGCCTCCACGGCCTGTTACAGGGATACCTTTACTTTTACTGTCAATATCCAGATGCTCCAAAATTGTAATTTTCCACTTATGATAAAAATTTCATTAATAAACATCTCCGTTATTTGGAACTGTAAAAATATGGCATTGATATGAACATCTTTGGCATGACTTCTGTCCTGTGTACATGTAAATACTCAGTTCATTTAAGAATTATTTAGAAATAAGTGCTCTATAAACCTTGCTTTAATTCATTCATTCATCCATCAGTGGCGTTACAGCTCTTTGTTGGGTAGGACTCCTTGGATGAGTGATTAGCCCATCACAAGGCAGCTACTTACACTGGGACAACACAGACACAGAATAAATGCACACACAAACATCCATGCCTTGAGTGGGATTCAAACCCACAATCCCAGAATTCGAGCGAGTGAAGACAATTCATGCCTTAGACTATACGGCCAGTGATCAGCCTTGTTTTTACTTCTGCTACATATATGTAGTATGTATGAGGAAGTACTGAGATCATGAAAACAAAATCTTGATATTTTGACAGATTTGCATGTTTTGAGCCCCTGTGAATATGAAAAGGCAATTTTTGGAATGCTGTCTATATTCTGTGAATGCACATGCACCTTGCTAGTGCCTGAACAGTTGGACAGATTTTATTCATATTCATATCGTATTCAGTTGTTTATCCTTCATAGATCATTTCCTGCTGAATATGAATATTACAGCTCCAAAAAACAGGGCCCAAAAAGAAAAAATGACAAGCTTCTGGAAAACAGTTAACGATTTTGATCAAATTTATGTATCTTATGGAGATCATTTCCTTAATAAAAAAGATAAGGGGTATCTTAAGGAAAATAATGTGGGGGGGTCCATATGTGATGTCAATTCTGCTGAAACCAGATTTACCAAGCCAGACAGATTTTTCAGTGTTGTCTGGCATTTAGCAACCAACAATGGTATACTCAGCAACAGTTAATTTTGTTTCCATGTTATGTAGTCAAGGTCAGTATTCAATGAGAAAAAGTATGTGTAATGCTTGTACTGTGTAATCTTTGGGGTTTTCTACACACTAAACTATGACAAATTATGATAAACACACAAGGGGCTCAAAAATGAAATGCCAATTTTGTCGAATCCAGCTTTACCTGTTAGATTTCATTGTTATTTGGCATTGAGCAACCAACAGTGGTCTACCAGGCAACAGTAAGCTTTGTTTCCACACTATATCAGTCAAGGCCAATCATGTGACAAAGTGTATACAAGATCTTTGCACCTTTTTTTTTGTGGTTTTCCACACTATATACTATACAGAGTGTCCCATGAGGAATGGACCAAACTTCGGGAGGGTGTTCCTTATGTTAAAGTATGCCGATATAACCCAACACACCTATGTCCAAAGTTGAACGGTTACGGAGATAACGGCCAGAGAAGTGTCAAACTTTGACCGGCGTTGCACACTTGTTGATTACAAAATACATATTAAAACTGGCAGGAATATGTGGATTCTGTAATGTTAATAATGTACGTAACATCAAACTAACTGGTGAGTGACATGAAGCCATAAAATTGAAGTACAAAATACTCGCTCGCCATGTCATAATTGTCCTTAGGGTTTCCAAGCACTATACATGACACATGAATGGCAAGCGCTGACGTAACATGCTGACTGCGCGTTCTGGTATAAGCCAACTACATAAGTACGGCTATGGTGAATCACCGCACTCAAGGACAAACATAGATAAGGCCTCTCAGCTGACAGGTACAGTGCGTGGACCCACCAGAAGACCACACTTTTCTTGAGCCATTATCTCCGTAACTGTTCAACTTTGGACATAGGTGTTTTGGGTTATATCGGCATACTTTAACATAAGGAACACCCTCCCGAAGTTTGGTCCATTCCTCCTGGGACACCCTGTATAGACTATATGACGAAGTTACAAGTTATTTTCTTACAATCCAATTTAAATTTGTCATTTAATACAGAAAAGATCCTGTTCTACTACCGGACATTTCAAGTACATATTCCTGAAGATATGAGAAAGAAGATTCCTGAGAAAGTACATATTGAGACAAAAGAGGAACAAAAACAAGAAATGCTTCAATCAAAAGAAAAGGAAGTGCAGAATCAAAAACAAAAGTGAAATTAATATGGGATGATAGAACCACTAGACACTGTGTAATTTATTTTGATAGCTTACAGCACAAACTAGCAATTCCTGTTGTTTAAATTATCTGGCCACTTGACCAAATTTGCTTGTGTGCAATACAGGGAGATATTCTTGCAGTATTGAACACTGTGGGCAGATTTTGTGTCAAAATGTATGTTTACCTTAATAATTAGAACATTCTTTGATTTGTTGCCAGGTATATGTATGCAAGAAATATTTCCCATGTGGTAAAATTCAAAATGTGACATAATTACCTGCTTGCATTACATTTAAAAGCAAAGTGTGATTTTATTCTTGGTTTTAAATCTAGTACAGATTCTTGTTAAAAAACATACTAAGAAGTGCTGTTCCAATAAACTCCCATAGACTTAACTTACTTACCCATTGCAATAAAACATCTGTATTTAAGTTTGTTAAAATGTGTTTATGGCAGATCAGTTCCATAATTTGCAAACCAGTGATGTAAGATAAATCAGTAATTATTGGCTGCTGCTCCAATGTGGCCCTAACTACATGTATACCAAAAGCTCTTACTTTTACACGAGTTGATGGAGGGAACAGAAGCCCTTTGTTGGTTCCTGTCGACATGACACACATTTCTGCTGCTAGGGAAAACAATTCCTCACTCCTGGCCAACATGAGGAAATTCTGACCACACTGTAAATCATAACAAGGAATGTTGGCCAGAAAGATTAAATCTTTCAGGTAACACATATGCATTATAAACTTTCCACTCCAGAAATGAGAGCAGCCAATGAAATTTTAATGTTCTTGCCACCCGACTGTCCAGTCGCCAGAATGAAGACTGTGTTTGTGCAAGTAGCCAATCAGGGGCTCTGGATTCAATTTACATTCCTGGCAAATTACTTTTTTTTTTAAAAATTCGCTTAGTGGGAGGTGGAGTCCAACTGGGTCCACTCAGCACGGTGGCCACTGATTGGCCTATCGTAGCCTGCCGAAGGTGATTATGATGGAGAATTTTGTGGAATGAAGATTGGCAGGGGAAACCGAAGTACTCGGAGAAAACCTGCCCCAGTGCCACTTTGTCCACCACATATCCCACTTGACCAGACCCAGGATCGAACCCGGGCTGCCACAGTGGTGGCAAATTACTTGATATTGTCTTTAAAAATTGCCTACATTGTGAGGACATCCTCTATACATCACTATATTTTTGATCAATAGACTGTGTGTTTTGTTCAAGACTTTGAAGAATTTAGTTGCTCTTAGTGCAGTGCATGAAATTTAACCTTAGTCAGCCTTTGGACAATATTTTTAAGTTGAACCTCAATAATTAATACAAATATTACATTTCTGGACATTATCCATCACCCTGTTTATACTCCAAAACACAAAGTTTTGGAGACGGGATTCTGCCTCTGTCTTCAGGTGAAACCTACTCAGTTGGACCCAATCAACAGAGCTAGTCCTTATCTCCAGACACCTATACCAGCACTAAAGATAGGGTATACAAGCCAAGCACAGCACATCTATTGGTCTAAGTGGCATGTCAGGTTTCTGTATCTTGGCAAGTCCATAAAGGTGAGGTGGTGTGCTGTAGTGAGGAGTCAATTTATGTTTCAAGGCAGCGGCAAGGAAAGTTTTGTGTTTGGTACAAGTTCCCACATCTTCCTCTCAATTTGTTACATAGAATCCTTATATAGAATTTCATAAACTCGCAAATCTCATACACTAGATATCTTCTTCTTGTATGTAGACTCATTCAACACTACTTTGCAGTTTCCTTTGTCAGCTTGTAGAATTTTTTTATTTGCGTGTCATCTTTTAGGGATTTCAATGCCATGGATTCCTTCCTAGTCATGTTAGATGTCAAAGGTCTTGATTTCTCCAAGATACATCGAATCCCCCAACAGAACTCCATACCCAAGGCAGGCGGATGTTTGAACCTTGCAGATTCTACCATACGTGCCATGTCCAAATTAGACACTCTGTTACTGCAAAATTTAGCCCTGTCTTGAGCACAGAGTCTTCCGATTCTGTGAAGACATGCTCTTATAAACTGAGGACAAATTTATCAGACCCCTGAATAGCCTTTGGGGTCACAGTGGTCTGGTAGTGATTTTTCAGAGCTAAGAATTTTCTAATCTGAATCTCCTTCTGTTTAAGAAAATGACATTTAAAGGAGCTTTCCATTGCAGCCATGATGCAGAGTTTGATCTGATTGATTTTTTGATCTCCAGAAAAAAGATTCCAGAGCATTGATTTGTTTTTAGAATGGTGGAACATGATTCTATCTTGTAGTTGGGCCTTGGTGGCTCATAGTTATCTTAGAACAGTGATGACTGGTATGGAGCTTTCAATATGAGACCTTTAGGAACAAAATCATGAGAAAAGTGAGATCGTTGGAAGCGTTAGCCAGCTGAATCTTGACTCATTCAAATTTCCTACACTTGGGATATATACCAGGTCCATACTGGTTATGTAAATAAGATCTAAAAGTTTGTGATGATGGTAAATTACTAAAAGTATTATGTTTCTGGACAGAAGTATGCATTAAGGAGAAAACATCACACACAGGAAATACAAGGAATCCATCCATATGTCTCTGATAGACCATCCAATCAGTCAACCCAATTTAGACATATCTCCCGTCTGGACTCCCATTATCACAGCGGAAGTCAGAAAACAACAACTCCGTCCAGTGTAGATTGGGTGGGAAAATTTGCTTTTTTTGTGTTGGTACCATACAGAGAATTTCATCTCTCCAGTTCTCTGGTGCAAGGCCTCATACATGTACAGTTTTTTAATATTTTAAAGGTTTGTCTTAGCTCTCGCAGATGGTTTGTGTTGTGCTTGTCTTGTATACCCTATCTTGATGCTCGTACAGGTGTTTGCAGATAAGTACTAGCTCCATCGACTGGGTCGAGCTGAGTAGGTTTTACCTGAAGACCGAATCCAGTCCCTGAAACGTCGTTTTTTTAAATATAAACAGGACAATGGATAACGTCCACAAACATAATTTTTGTACTAATCTACCATCATCACAAACTGTCACGTTTTACTAAAAAATTAATTCCATCATCATTTAAATTCTCCATGCCTTAATTCATAAGCCAATATAACATAAACTGAACATTAACAGTGCATTCTAGCCAACTACCTGGCAAACACTAATCAGTGTGAATCTGAACCATAGTTCTGCATTCGCATACATGAAACTGTGTGAAGTGCAGGAGCAACCTGAAATATAAAGAGAATCAATTCACCAGTCAAGAGTTGTATATGAGTTCACATCATCTATCATCATCCATGTACCCTTTGACATCATTACGGTTCTACATGCAATATTCCCTAACACAGAGAACAGCCTTTACAAGCTAAGCAGTTATAAAAATGTTGGTCTTTCAAATATGGGGCTTTCTCATAGGAGTTAGGCCTGGGTACACTGTATAAAAATCTTACAAATCATATGGTCACATGTGCACACATTTGCACACATCTGACACTATTTTATCCATTTTGGTCTTTCCAAAGGCAGGGAATCATGTCATTGCAGAAACTAAACCCCATAATCATTGAGAAATTTCATGCTTTCAAACAATTATTCAAATAGTGGCTTACAATATACCACTGCCCCTTCCCATCCACAACAAGGATCAAAGTGTATGGCATATAAACAGCAATTAGATCATCTGTATTGTGAGTCCACTAAAATCCCATTTCATTTGTTAGGCTGTAGTCTTTGTCAATGCCAATACAAGTCACAGTCTCCTCAGCCTGCCCAGATGGGAGGGGTGTCAGATACTTGTGCAATAGCAGATCAACAGTTTACTGGAAACTTACAGCAATCACGGTGTTCTAAGATACACGGATATAATAATAACAAAAGACATGCAGAAAATATGAGAACAAATACTGATGCTGTCAGTAAAAATATAAACCTGTCACATTCAGACTGGTCAATATTGTGGCAATGAGAATGGAATATTATGGGCATTCAGCATGTACTTTGCCACCACCAAATTAGGAAGATTTGATAAAAGGATGACTAAAATGGTCATGCATAAACTTGGTTGTTGGTATTCAGATGATCTATGAAGTAAGACCTGTAGAGCCAAAGACAACTTGGCACATAATTGCAATAGTCCTTTCCAAGAAATGGCTGCCTACTTTTTTCCATGCAAAAAAAAGTGCCAATCTAGTAATTCTAAATAGGTCTGACATTCTGAGACAATATTCTTAGGCATATAACAGTTATTTTCTTGACATCATGAAGATTACGATAATTTTCTGCTCTCCAGTTGTTATTTTGACTGTTCACATTGGCTTGGGGTGGGGACACTTAAATCATGCCCCATTTGAGGCAGGGACTTAGCAATCACAGATTGTTTCTCTACAGTCTGGATGCATAAGGTTTTGTGTGACTAGTCTGTAGGGTTATAGCTTAAAAATTTAAATTTAGGATGAGTTGCGTTTTCTGACTTGTCAAATCAGAGCCAGTGATACAGTTTTCATTGTGCTCCAATGTCACGTCTCACTACTGTTATTTTACGCAGCTCTGTGAAACGAGGATGTTCTTTCCACTGTGAACACATTATATCAGGCTTCAAAATATGCTGTTAAAAGATATTTCATTTCACTGTGGCATTGGAGATCATCCAATATACCATAATGACATGGACAACCGCATCAAACCATACCAGAAGAGGAACCAGGAAAGAGGTAAGCAATGATGGTTCAATCTGGATACAGAAATTGCTAGTTGTGGTTGATAATTAAAGGGCCTCGTTGCATTTTTCATTCCACCTTACAACATCCCTTCCCAGTTTCAATGTACCAGTAATTGGGATGAGAAATTATGAAGAGATATCATTCATTCCTGTTGAAACAATCATGTTTATAAAAGCAGAAAATATAAAACATTATGCAGATGAAACTGTAGTGCATTAGTTGTATTCCCTTGGCACTTGGACACCCATGTTTTGTGGGGCTGGACAGGACTTGAGTTACTGTAACATGGCAAGCAGAAGTGACTGCTCTTTTGTTTTCAAAGTTCTCTAGTGAGAAAATATCAAGTCAGTGGGATGGTCACCAGACATCAATGACCACTGTTTTAAGTGTCATTTTATTTCAAGGTATACTACAGACTCCAGTGTATAATGCTTTATACTGAGCCAAGTAAGGCTAACATGTAAATGAATGCATCATAATGGGGACATGACCTTCCCCTTCAACAGGAGCAGTTGCCTTTACTAAGAAATGTGCCCCCTTGTACCTATCAAAGTGTTATACTGCTTAGGACTCCAATACAGCCATCTACTGAAGTTCTCAAAGTGGTGACTGAATATCAGTGCCTTCTGGAATGTGATGCTGTACAGTCTGGTAGATGTTTATGGATATTTCAGAGGGATGTCGGTAGACTATACTGCATCACAGCCCAGAAGACGGTCATCTTCACTACTATAGTTATATAGTGCAAATAGTTTGGCTTCTTATTTCTAGATTTTTAAACAACTTTTCAATTTCATGGCTAGGTCCATCTACCCTACAAACCAGGGTTATGTTATACATTTTGTAGGCAAGCTTACACAAGAAAGCCATGTGTAAGTATGAATATCCCACCAACATATGAAAACAAAATGCATATTCAATATCTTGTTTCAATTCTGATGTGTGAGAGTTATTCTTGTTCACATTATCTGTCCAATATCTTCAGAGATAAAAGTCAAGTGCCAATACATATGAAAATGTGAGAGGCCATATATTTTGAGAAATAATATGATCACCAAATAATTCTCACAACACTTCCACTGCCGAGCTTACGATACATGTTGCTAGTCTATCCAAATGGAACTAGCAGTCTTGTTCCTCAACTTCCAGAAGAAAATTGATAGTGCTGTGCTACAACTACCATAATACTAAATCAGTGCTGGAAACCATTCAAGGCAGTATTAATAAAATCAAGAAAATTCAGGCAATTTTAAATTTATCCAAAAATACTACATCAAATAACTGAATCACAAACATGCTGGTTATATGCAGTAGAACAGCCACAGAAAGCCATTAAGATGACCTTCACCAATATTTCAGCACGATCACCTCAAAGCACCGAAGAACACCAACTGACAGCACTGATTACATGAGACAACCTTGTCAAAATTTGCTATGTAGCATACACCATATAGGAAAAGCCATGGATGCTGTAGGTGGTATTGTGGTGAGTACTTCCGCTGCAGAGTACAAGGTAATTGGCGGCTTCTTGTAGTACTGGGTCCACAGTGATACGTCCAATATTGGGCGAGCTGAGCGGTCCGCTTTGGCTATTAAAAATAGTCTAAAGGCGGATGTGATTGCGTTATTGGGCTTAAGTATGCCAGTGGTTACTAAATCAGTTATGGCTTCATCTAACAATGGTGTAGGCTTTGTAGCCTGAAACACTCTAGGGGCGTTTTGCGGTGGCGGTAAGTGAGCCCCTTCACGCACTATTTGTTGGAAAAAATTATCATTCACTCATGGTTGCACTAAGGCGGGCACAAACACTGGCTTATAGTGTGTAGGCGGAGGTGGCCGCGGCAATAAATTGAGTTGTGGTGATGCGTCTTCTTGAAGTTGAGTGTCGGATGAAAGACGTTCCTCATCGTCGTCAGTGTGGCTAGCAGTATACAAAGGTCGAAACATGTAGCATAAGTTCATGCATATAATAAATAAATGAGGTACAGATTGATATATGCCTGTATTCACTTGAATACAATCTTTCATTTATTTGTTGTGTTGATGGTCACATTCATAGAAAAAATTACCTGGCCAATTGTTGACAGTGCTTCAATTTGCTGAGCAAATGTTTTCAGAGAATTTCATGGAGATCATAACAAATTGACAGAGACATTTCACATTCATCATTCACTAAAGCTCAATCAGAACAATTTTTATCATTTACACTTCCTGTGTCACAAATATTTTATTAAATGAATTACTGCCGACTTATTCAGCATAGAAGAATCAGAAGTTCAAGCACAAGGGCAGTCTGGCAGCCAAGAATATGATTTTCAACAATAACAATACACTGTGCTCGTGAAGAGCAGACATTCACATCTTGACTGTCTACATGCATTGCAAGTTGCACACTGTTCAGACATGTCACAACCTTTGTGGGGACATGAACAGTAACTAATGCTGTTTAGGAGTCTCTCAACCAATGTTAAGCCATGTATAATTTTCTAATTGGATGCATTTTTGATCTCTCCGCACAAAAATAAAATGTGTCACCTGGCAACTAGTGGTAACAAATTTGATCCAAGTTCACATTTCCATTCCAAGCATGAAGCAGTTGTGTACAAATCATGGACTTAAACCATTATGCATCAATACTAAACACATTTTAATTCCATTGTTCAATATACAAAAATATTTTGATATAAACTTACTTATTGCAGTTAAGATCACACAACCTTATCCCAACGCCAAATAGTTCCATCATCACATACACACAACAAAACTGAACCATCACGACTAAGACTAGTCTGTCGAATTGCTGCCACACATCGGGGATGTGTTAAAGTTGTGCACCGAGACTGTGTTGGATCAGTCACTTCTAAATCCCATACAAATGTACGTCCCACCTGATTACCAAGTGCTAAAATCTGTAATGAAAAACAAAGTGTATTAAAAAAGTTTGCTTTGTAAATTCATTTGGCTTTAATGTGACATGATTTTAAACTGCTTATTATGGCATGTAGTTTTTTATAAAAATAAACTGACAGAAATATAACTGGGGTGAAACTCTTGGAGGTGGGGTATGGGTCAAGGCATGCAGGCAATACTGCACCGAACTTGATCACATCTAACTGGAGAGGGAATCCGGTACCTTTACTTCTGAATTAAACCTTTAAAATATTTTCTTCCAAAGCTAATACATAACTTAATACTCCATATTCTCCCAGGGATAACATGCCATTTATATTAAGCTTACCTTCTGCCAGAAATCCATTGCAAATCTGACAAACCAAATTTCACATTCTCTGTATTCAAAACGGTGAATAATTGTAACGCTTGTTTCATTTGATCGGAGTTCTCTGTCTTCCAGACGTCCTGGTTTCCAACATACAATGCAGTTCTCACAAGACTAAAACAAAAACGTTATTTTATCATTTATCATTTCAGAACTACAGATTCGTTAAATACAATAGATCAAGCACTATACCTTCGACAAGACAAAGTCACCAAGCCATCTGACACAATCAACATAGTTCCGATGAATATCTCTTGTAGAAAAATCTGGAAAGTGTTCCTTTAGAGAGTCAAAGGGCCTAAGGCTTCGAGCTGCATTGAATTGGTAAGACCCACGGATAGCCTCTCTCATGGTTTCTTTGTCCAGTCGCCACAGTTTCAATGAATGATCCATTCCACACGACAAAATACGATCACCACGCAGGTCAAAATCCTATTAACATAAAGATACCAAATGCATGACACTCTCTCAAAAACTAAAAATAAAAGTTCACTCATTTGTTTTAAGACAGACAATTTCCTATACGTCTGATTATACATCATACAAGTCTTACTGCGAATCACTGAAGACATTCAGATCTATATTAATGGTAATGGAAGGACTTTCAGAAGGACATGCGTACAAGAACAAATGTTGGAACACATGTACAAGGAGAGAAAACAAGTATCTCAAGATGACCACACTAGCTAGAGGTTAGTGACAGCATATGTATATACATATTTTTAAATACAGAATTAGTCCAATTATATGGCAGAACTTGCATATAAATGGTATCAATGAATATTTATATTCAAAATGAACTTCATGTAATATTTACAGTTATGCTTTTAATCCTAGAATTCACTGCATTATTTCTTATTCTTAAACTCCATTACTTACAGCACTAAGGACTTCATCTCGATGGCCCTCAACACCACCAAATATTGCAATGCAAACATCTGTCTTGATGTTCCACAGCCTCAAAGCATGATCCTTAGATACAGACAACAATAAATTGGGATCACGTGGATGGAATTTAAGTTCATTTATAGCATGACCATGACCTATTTAAAACAAGGTGTATTACTGACACAATGTTCAACAGAAGCACTGAAAAGTATTACAGAACAACTTATTAATCTTGATGCACTACTAGGTGCACAAATGCCATTCATTTTCACATGATAAAAGATAAACTGTGACTATATTTCCTACTAGTTCTCTACCCTTGTCAGATCTTTAAAACTTCTTTGCCATAATAAAGTGTTTTAGGCAGCTGTTTAATTTTAATAACTTTCTATGTTCTAAAAATGAGCAATCTGAATTATGACACGACTGGTTTTTGCATAAGCAGTGTCCACTTTGGCTTCGGATCAAAAGCATATTAGGCTTGAGCTCATATCGTGACCAATGATGCCTCCCAGCATTACAGGGTGATAAAAGTCATACAACCCATAATGCCCATCTATTTTTCATACATGAAAATATAAAATCTGTGTAAAAGGCAACATATACAGCAACAGTGGTGTAATAAATTCCCATGTGGGATGGTGGAAACGTGGTTTTGAGCGGTCTACAAACTGTGCCAATTATGGGTGAACATTAAATCGAAGCAAAAGTGATTTTCAATAGTAAAATATGCTCAATGTTGAACATTACTTAAACATTAATGTTACAAACATTCTTAGAATGTTCATAGGACAGTATTTTTAGATTCTCAGTTCCGCAAAAATTGATAATAAAAGTCTGCTTCATAATTTTCATGGAACAGGGAGCATCCATGGCTTGAAGAGATCCAGAGTGTTGCAGAAGGAGTTCACTCTCAACATATTTTGTGAATGTGTCTATGACAGTGTTATGATAAGTATTGGGAAAATACATAAGTTAACCAAAAGCCACCTCTCAAAGGCTGCATGATGTTTCAGCCAAACTGTAAGTCATGTTTATTAATATTAAAATAAGCAGTCATTCACTGCTGAATTCCTGAAAAAGTTGATGTAAAACTTTTCCATATATTTTGACAAATTAGTGTTAACAATGATGTTAGCATGTAAATAAGATTTTGCTACAAATAAAACTTGGATAATTTTATTTGTCACACTTAGCACAACTGAGGTTCCTGAGTAAGGTTGCAAGGGCCATTAACTTAGGTATCTATTTGTTCACATCCTCACCAATGTAATGTCGTACACAAGACATTGTTGCTGGACTGAAGATACGTATAATGCCTCTAGAACCTGCAACAGCCAATAATGGCTTTCCTGATTCCTCATCAAATGACCATGCACAAGTGTAGTAGTTTTCATCAAGCTGGTGCCAAGTTAAGAACAATCAATAAATTCAAACACTATTTAAAGAACCCAGTATATCTGCAAAAACTACAATGTGCTGAATAAGTCAGATGCTTCATTTTTCAAGGATTAATATTCAAGTCTTAAAAGGGAGAGGGTAAAGATAATGTTGTCTCTGTGCTTACTTAAGACAATTAGGAGTGGAAGTACAGCTGTTTGCCACCACTGCTTTACTGGGAAGAAAGAGCCATTGGTGCCCAATGGACCAAAGGTTGGGTGGATTCCTGAGACAGTTTGGATGCAGACCTTGCCAGTGACCATTTAGCCTACAGTTGTGTTAATAACCAGCAACAACCACCACAGTACTAAAGATAGTTTTAAAACATAACCACAGTTCTGTAAACTACCTGTCTAATAAAATTTTAAAATGATTTTATTTGCTTCTTTAGCAATGGAGTTTGAACTGGAAGCATTTCTGAAGCCATAAAAAAACATTATTCACTGCTATTTGAGCACTCTTGATGCAGCCCATCATATTAGTGAAGTCATTTGAAATGTTACCAATGCAAAACTTCCTACAAATGACAGCTTTATAGTTACAGGCTTCATCCATACACAAGAAAAACTGGTGATAAATTAGAATCAGAAATTTGTAGCAAGTTACTAGGATAGAAACAAATGTAGGAGGTCCAGGTTATAGTAAGAGATATACACATATGAAACACCCACATAGAACATACCCTAACACAATACTATTCAACACATACCACCTCCCTACCCCATTCCCCCTACTCTTATTCCAATAAAAAACCCTATACACACTAGGCTATGTTTAAGAGTTTAACTGCTAATTTTAACTAATAACTATAATAATGGAAATAAATTACAGATCTACATAATCTAATAATCAATCCAATATATTTTATGTTTTGATCTTGAAAAAGGTTCTAAGTAAGCAGTCCAATAACATACATTGACACACATTCTAATATTTTAAATTCCTGATGACTGGTCATATATGACCAGAATATGTAATGTGTATTATTAGTAAACAAAAACTGATTTCATGGATAAACTCATGCCTTCAGTTGTTTATTTATAAGTGAGTTTGTTGTGACAGATGGACTAAAAAACACATAGTACGGTAACAGGAAATAAGCTAGGCAAATACAATTAAGGGCAAACAACAATTTTATATGAGAATGCACCTGCTGAATTTGTGCCATGTGCAGCATGCTATATGAACCTACAAATACGAGGAGCATTCCGTATATAATGCCTCCTATTTTTTTAATGAAAATGACAACAGATACAGAAAGCATAATAATGCAGTTAAATAGAGCAAGATTTCAGCTACTTAGTTACTTTTCCACATAATCACCACCATTCGTTACGCACTTTTGCCAGCAATGAACAAGAGCCTGTATGCCGCGCCTGTCAAAGTCTGTGCCAGCAGAGGCTAGTCACTTTCTTAAAGCTGCAATGACAGCATCGTTGTCTGGAAAATGTTTCCCACATAGTCCATCTTTCATAGGCCCAAAGAGATGGAAGTCTGAAGGTGCTAAATCGGGGCTACAAGGTGGATGTAGTAGGACAGTCCAGCCAGACTTTGCAATGTGCATGATGGTTGCCAAACTGGTATGGGGTCTAGCATTATCGTGTTGCAAGCGAAAGGTTGTCTGCTCCTATGGCCTGACTCGGGAAATGAGGGCTTTCAGCTTAGTCAGCGTTGTCTTGTAGTGTTCAGAACTGACAGTCTCACCAGGCTCCAGGAAATCCAACAAAATCACACCCCAACTATGCCAAGAGACCATGCACATCACTTTCCCTGCTGATGGTTGTGTCTTGAACTTCTTTTTTTCTTGGGGAATCCGGATGTCGCCACTCCATGGACTGTCTTTTGGATTCCGGGTCATAGTGGTGACACGTCTCATCTCCGGTGACAATGCTGTCCAGAAAGTTTGTCACCTTCAGCCTCAAACTGGTGCAACAGGTCCTGATAGACTTCCATTTGATGACTTTTGTGGTCCTGTATAAGCATCCGCAGGACCCACCTGGAACAAACTTTGCGATAATCCAGCTTCCCCAACATCGTTTCCAATGTATTACAGCTAATATTAAGCTGTGCACACAGTTCTCTGGTCATTATCTGTTGATCAAGGCACTGTTCAGTGTGAGGAGTGGCAGCTGAGCAGGGATGCCCAGGGCGTGGCTTGTCATGCACTTCACTTTTGCCACTGTTGAAATGCACTACCCACCACCTCACTGTGCTGACACCCACTGTATCGTCTCCGTACACCTTTAACAAATGTCGATGGATGTCAATGGGTGCAATTTGTTTGGCAGTGAGAAATTCAATAACACATCTCTGTTTCGTATGCACTCCTATGTCAGACACCATTTTGGTAGACTGCTCTGCTGTCGCTATCTGTCACACAACAACCAAACTAACATTATATTGGCGGGAAGGTTCAAACTTTACAACACTAATCCAGTTCAGACGTTACATATTAAGACAAAAAAATAGGAGGCATTATATATGGAACGCCCTTCGTAGTACAGTGAAGTTCCACCAGCCACTGTGAAATGTTAAAGAACATTCAGCTGACCCTCATTATAGCATGGCTTCTGATATATCATGACTCTGATCATGCTCTCAATACAATTATAGATGTTTTATGTTATACACATTTCCAAGAAATTTAGCAGAAAAATACAGTAAAGATATTGATGCTTCTTTGCTTATAAATTGCAAACATCAAGCACAGACACTATTGCCTCATGTGGAATCAGCAGTCCCATTTCATCTTTGCCAGCTAGCAGATAATATCCTTTTTGGATGTTATCGAAACATCCAGTTGGATTTTCTGCAACAGGAAGTAGTGGCACCCACATCATCTTCATATGGTAAATTTGCCTTAAAATGTCTGTGGCACACAAAATGTCTTTATGCATTAGTTACCAGTCAAACTCCTGAAATATTTCGTGTACCCCAAAGGGAATCATGATTCACAGCTTCAGAAATTCTCCATAAAGGTAAAAGGTAAAGTTGTCCCTCTGCTTAACTAATTAAGCATTTCGCCATGAAGGCATAAGAGAGAGTTGATGTATAGATCCACATTTTTCCTTGACCTCGGCACTAGTTGAAGGTGAGTGGTCAACTTCACGCCCCATGAAATTCTCCATATACCTTCTAAAGTTATACATCAATTAAGAAGATTCAGATATCTGAAAGGAAAAGTTCACAATTTGAACATAATATCTGCTTGTACTTCTAACAACAAGTGAGGCCACACCATAGTTCAAGTGGTTAGTCGCTGGCTTCCCACCATGACGGCCCAGGTTTGATCCCTGGTCTGGTCAAGTGGGATTTGTGGTGGACAAAATGGCACTGGGGCAGGTTTTCTCCTAGTACTTTGGTTTCCCCTGCCAATCTTCATTCCACCAAATTCTCCATCATCATAATCACCCGGGGCAGGCTACAATAGGCCAATCAGTGGCTGCCGTGCTGAGTGGACCCAGTTGGACTCCACCCCCCCCACTAAGTGAATTAAAAAAAATCAAGTTTCTTCAACCTGTTCTACTATCCAGTTTGCACATAAGGCCAGACAAGAGACAAGACACTTCATATCAGAAGGATACATCAGGATCAGCATAACACTGCAGTAACTTAATCCCATTGCCTTCGGGGCATTCATATATAGAAACACGGTTGCTTCCAACAGCTGCAAATATCAGAGGCTGTCCTTCTTTTAAATGATGATTGAACTGCGCACCAAACAGTGGTTGACCATGGTCTTCCTTCACACTAGTCCTAAGAAAGATATAGAAAAAAATTACAAACATTCTGTGTTGACATACTTGACTCTGCTCCAAATTGCATATAGAATAAATCACAGCTCTCTCTCACAATGCTTATTCTTTTTATCAAGATAGCTAAGACCACTAACAATTAAATTCTGTGACTGCGTTGGTCTAGGGGTAATGCTCTGGACTCATATTTTGGAGGTTTTAGGTTTGGATCTTAACCTAATTACCAGCTATAATGACTGTGGTATTCTGCAGCTTTCTTCAATCCCTCTGAGCAAATGCCAGGGCAATACCTCATCTAGGCCATGACTGCTTCTTTCCTAATCCCTTCCCATTCAACATTCATCCTACCATCCAAAACTATACAGTCTCAATAGTGAACATGTCTTTAAATAGTAGTGAGTATTGCCCCTCAAACATTCAGAACTCTGAATCCACTGTGTGCCCCCACTGTTGCTTGGGCTCTTTAAAAGACTCAGACAAACCCTCTTCTGAGGGTCTCTTAATTTCCACTGGCTGTACTCATGGACAGTCAACCAGAGGTCACAGATTCATATTCAACCAAGTTGGGGTCTGATTTAACCCTTCCGCGACGGATAGTATTTAAATCTTTTCCTACTGCCAAACCGACAGGGTATTTAATTATTAAACAGAAAAATGCACTTATCCATGAAAAATTTAGTAACTCTCGGAAAAATAGGTATATTGAGACAAAAGTTTCACA